AAAGGTGACAGAGCAGAATCCTGTTATCCTGCTGCCTTGAAGCAACAGATTAAGAAAAGTTTAGGGAGGTCAGGGCAGCTAGAATTTGTGAGGCAGTGCACTGGAAAGAGAAAACTAAGCATAAAGAACTTCAGAACTTTTCTCCTGGAGACACTGCCTGAATACCACCTACCTGTGCATGCAAACAGCGAAACGCCATAGGCTGGACAAGGAATAGCTTCTGAGGAAAGAATAATTACAGGGGAGCTGTAAACCAAACAATCCTGAGCTCACACAAAACTGGAAATGTTCAAATTCCTACCAGCTTATTGATTACAGGGAACATTCATACAGACCCTGTGTGTATAACACCTTCGTGATAAGGCTAAAGCAATCATGGAGTGAAAGTCATCCTGAAGCTGGCTGAGTCAGTTTTTAAAGCAGTCCCGAATGCATCAAGAGGATTCTTAACTATTTACTAGTGTAAAGTCCAATACCCTTTATGGAATAAAGAAAAAGCTGTCACTCACAGTGTAACATTCACCAAGTCTAGCATCCCACATACAAACAAGCAAGCAAAGAGGCAATAAGCCAATCAATAAAACAAACAAAAGTTTGATAGAAATTATGGAATTAGCATATTATGAGAATAGGTGATATAAAAAAGAATCAAATGAAAGCTTCAAGAGGTGAAAAATATAGTACCACTGTAAAACTCTCACTGATGATATTAACAGCAGATGATAGACTACAGAAAAAAGATAACTAAACTTGAATTAATACCAAGGAAAAATATTTAAAATGAAGCACAGAGAGAAAAGAGACCAAAAAAAGAGGCAAGAACAGAATCTCAATGACCTACAGGACAATATTACATGGTCTAATATATATGTAATTGGAATCTCTGCATTTGGGGGGATGATGGTTAAAATATTTGAAGAAATAGCAATAAAATTGATAAAAAATTATAAACCTACTGATTCAATAAGTTCAATGAACTGTAAGTGGGATAAAAACTGAAAAAAAAATGCCATACCAAGATACACAATACCCATATTTTTCAAATTTTGAGGTTAAGAGTAAAACTTTAAAAAGCAGCCATCAAGGAAAAAGCTATATGAGAACAGAAAAATAATTTAGAATAAACAATCTACAGAAACTGTGTAAGCCTTATGACAGTATCTTATAAAAATGGAATGGTACCTTTAAATTTTTGAAATAATAAAAGCTATCAGCCAAAAATTACAGAGTCAGCAAAGATATCTTTCAGAAATGAAAAATAATTGATCACATTTCCAGACAAAAACCAAGAAAGTTCACTACTAAATCTGTACCTATGATAAATGATAGCAACTGCAGGAGGGATGGGTGAGAAACGTAAAAGTATGCTGTTGGAAGTTTTTTGCATTCTACTTGGAATCATGCTATTTGAAAGTAGATAGTAATAAATGTGAAGTACATACTATACATACTAGCATAATCAATTAAACATAAAACAAGAGGTATGACTAATGAAACAAGAGTTGTTTTAAAATAAAACACTAAAAATTTCAATAGAAAATAAGCCAAGTAAAGAGCAAGAAGAGAAACGGAACAAAGAAGAGATAGGGCAGATAGAAGTATCAGAATATTATATTTAAAATCTACATATTGAGAATTACATTAAATGTAAATGGCGAAAGCAGTTTCCCAACTCAGCACCACTGATAGGGATAGATAATTACTGGTTATAGAGGCTGTCCTTTGTGTTGTAGGATGTTTAGCAACATCCTTAGCCATGATGTACTTAGATGTCAATAGAAACCTCCCTCTTTCTGCCATTGTGAGAGCCATGTCTCCAGCACTGCCAAATATCCTCTATTTCAGCCAATGATGAAAGCTCTATAGCAAAATTGCCCATTTGAGAACCAGTGATCGAAACATTCCAATTTTAAAAAGCAAAGAATGTCATGTTTAATGAGAAGTAGGATCTAGTTCTATTCCAGTCATATAACCCACTATCATATAAATCCAGAGAGAGGTTAAAATAAAAGGATGGGGAAAATGTACCATATAACCACTGAGGTAATGAAGTTGTCTTCAGGATAGTGAATATTATTCGAGGGTCTTTTTTAAAAAGAAACATTTAAAAATACCTCATAACAACCCTAAATGTGTATGCACCTCATATACATGAAGCCCAAACTGACAGCACAGAGGCAAATAGAAAGATCCACAAATATAGTTGAAGATTTGATAATTCAATCCTCTCTCATAATTGATATGGAAGGTTGGTGTGATGTGACCACAAGCCAAGGAATGCTGGTAGCCACCAGATGTTGGGCCTGGCAAGGAACAGATTCTGCCCCACAGCCTCTGAATAGTGCAGTGTTTTGCCATCTCAGACTTCTTGCCTTAGAACTATGAAAGAATAGGTTTCTGTTGTATTAAATCACCATGTTTGAAGTGATTTATTACAGCAACCAATTCATTGCTCATGCTCAGAATAAAATCTATGAAGGTTCTCAATAGTAATCTAGACAGGGAAGGCCTGGTACATGAAGAAATACAGTTCTATACTTTTCAAAACTATCAGGATTGAATATTTTATGGTTTCCTTGGTAATCTTATTTTCATTTTACTGCTTGTAAATAAAACCAGAAATGTTTCCATAATGGTACTTCCCTAGAGGAGAACCCTACATGAGAATGCATATAAACTGAAACAACCACCTTAACTCTGTTCTTTTTTTTTTTCTGGAAAAAGAAAAATCTTTGCCTACTGCTACGGGGAAGGGAGTATCTGGTATACTTTTATTTATTAGCTCTTAAGTCTCTGAACATGGTTAGATAAAATATAAATGACTGTGTAACAATTGCATGCTACTTAAGACAATTTTCCCTTGCCAGCTAGCTCACAGAAATCTTGTAATTTATCTGCAGCTAAATTTCACATCTTTGATAGAAGCCAATGATGAAAGCCCTAATTGATATTTCTTGATGTTCTCCATATTTGTTGGACTGTTCTGTTCCCTTAGCTCTATTTTTGTGATTTGAGTGGCAGCAGAGGCTGTCTCTCCTATACAAGCCTGAGACAAATGTATTGCTACTTCTTAATAAATGTTAATCAGACCAGGTGATAAGTTTTGCCATTCAGACCTGGGGACAGTAAGTCCTCTGTAATCATATGCGCTGGAGCTCCTGGCCATGTAGTTTCTACGGCTGTGTGGGGACATATCAACAGGCTTCAAAGACAAAGCTGGCAATGGTGCCACGTGCCTGTAATCTCAGCACTCTAGGAGGCTGAGGTAGGAGGATCACAAGTTTGAGCCCAGCCTGGGAAACTGAGTGAGATGCTGCCGCAAGATAAAAAATAAAAAAGGACTGGGATCAGCTCAGAGTAAAGGCTATAGATTTAATTCCCAGTACCACCACCACCACACACACACACACACACACACACACAAAAAAAAAAAAAAAAAAAAATCTGGACCAGCAGGTAAATTGGGAGGCTCCCATGTCTATGTACTAAGACTTCATCTGCCCCTGGACTCTTTTAGCAGAGGGAGAGGCATGGTGTGCGGTGCTGTCCTATACATGAGAAGTGACACATAAAGGTGCCAGGAAAGCATAGAATTGAATTTGCTTTTCTAGTGATGGTGACTTCTTGAATACCATTAAACTAGACCCTTAAAATAGTGGCTTACAGACTTTATTGGGCAAGAGAAACACCAGAGAGCATATAAAAATGCAAGTTCCCTGGGCTCAGCCCTAGAGACTCAATTCGGTAGATCTGGATGGGCCCCCAGAAACAAGCTCTTTAGGAGTTTCTAGTATTGATTATTTAAAATCATGGGTCTACAGTTTCCTTCATTGGAATGAATGAACAAAAGGCACCTTTGTGTACCAAGACTCTCTGAACCAATGCTCTATTCTGTAGTATTTACACTGATTCCCTTAGCTCTCTTTTGCTATCTGTTCACTCATGCGTGAACTGTAAGCACCCATCATAGTCTGAAGGCATGCAGTACAGTCTCCTTCTGTCCTTGCCAGCCAGTCACCCAAGCTTTCCATCCAAGTAGACAGTGGCCTCTGCTATTGCAGTTTTCTGTGTGTTCTGAAGATATCCTATGTATATTGGTAATATAGGTACAGATGTATATATTCTTTTCTTCCCTAAGTATAACATACAATGTTCTGTACCTAGCTTTTAAAAAAATCTTTCACTTCATATATTTTGGAAACTTTTTCATATGACTAAAGATCACCTTCATTTTTTTTAAAGCTGGATAGCATTCCATGGTACTGATGGTGTTATTACTTGTACAGGGCTTTGTGTGTGTGTGTAATTGGGGACTGAACTGAGGGCCACATCCCCAGACCTTTTAGAACATTTTTTATCTTGAGATAGCCTCTGGTTAAGTTGCTCTGTGTGGGCTGGAGATTGCTGGTATTACAGGTGTGAGCAACCAAGCCTGGCTTCAGTGTTTTGATGGATGACTGCTTTCAATCTTTGCTAGTACAAATAAGGTACAGAGGACGAACTTGTGCTCATTTGACATCTGTGTCAGTGTGCTGTAGGATAAATTGCAGAAGGGCAATCATTGGTCCAAGTCTACATGTACATTCGTTATACTTTTTTGGGCACCAGGAATCAAACTCAAGACCTTGTGTTTGCCAGGCAGGCACTGTTCCACTGAGCTATATCCCCAGCTCCGTATATTCGTTATTCTGAGAAATATTGCCAAATTGTCCCCTACAGAGGTTATAAAACTTTGATTTTTGCTAATCTGACAGGTGGAAATACTATGTTGCATATTTGATTTGCAGGTGTCTTTGAGTATCTTTTCATGAGCCTGGGTGGCACTGTGTTTATTTTCCTTGAATTATCTCTTCTCCTTTGATGTGGTCTTTTCTTACTAATTTATAGAAGGTAGAATCTGCGTTTTGGCAACAGACAGTCATGTCTTGACCAGTGACCTTGACACCAGCATCAGCACACACACACACACACACACACACACAATTTGTGAACAAATTTATTAACCTCGGCATGAAATCTTGTCTTTGCTACTTGCTGTGTGACCTTGGGTGAGTTACTTAAACTCTTAAGGCCACAATGTGGAAAGGTCTGGCATATCAATGTGGTCCTCTAAAACCAGGACGTCTACCGGGACACATGTATCCACGAGGCGCAGGGCAGGTCTCCGCTGGGAAATCCTGCCTAGGCGCCAAGGCCCGAACACCGCGACGCCAGGAGGAAGCTGGGCCTCGCTTCTTAAAGCCTAGATCTCTGTTTTGGGAGAGCCGCCAGCAAGAAATCAAAATCAAGCGAAGAGGAGCCAGTTGATGAAGTCAGTCCCCGGGCCACCCCTCCAGCAGGCGGAGAGCAGCGCTGCGGCCCGGCGAGCAGAGGCGCGACCAGGGACCGGAGTGCAGGGAGGGGAGGGGACGGGAGGGGACGCGAGGGGAAGAGGCGGGAGGGCGGGTCCGCCGTCACGTGACCCGACCAGCTGTTGGCGGGGGCGGCGGGGACCCACAGCGCCGCGAGTCTGGGAAGCGGGACGCGCCCGACGCCGCCTTCGCCACTGCAGCCGCAGCCCCCGATGTCGCCGCAGTAATCCGCCCGCGGCGGCGCCCGCACCTCGGTG